TGAAACCTCCAAAGCTGTGGGCCATGATAAGCCTTTCCTCTTTATAAGTTGATCATTTCAGGTATTTGTTATGACAGAACACTAATACAGGTGGTTTCCTCTGCGAGCCCACTGTTGTGTGATGGGAGCCTCATGAATGGTTTGTTCTGTCCTTGAGTCACCCTACGGGATCAATGGCAATGTAGGAATAGTATTGGATACAGTAATTGGGAAGTCTGGTATTAGAAATAAATGCAAATGAAGAATCTTAAACACAGGCAGGCTTCCCGGAGAAAAAAGACTGAAGAGGAATCCCAATGGTATTTTCTAGTTCCTTAGACATTTGCGGTCCAAAGACAGATTCTCACCCGTGTCCACTTTGTGGTGCTGGTACCCTGTGCTGGTATATGTCACATGCTGGAGAATGAACTTCAAAAGCTCCCGGCTACTGGTTGAAATGATCAGCTGCTTCTGGCCTCTGCCCTGCACAATATCACCTGGGACATCAGCGAGAGTGTTGAATGTCCCCAGAGAAGCTGTCAGGGTGACCTAGGGTAGTATTAAGTTTATTCACATTATTATGCAACCATCATCCATTTCTATAACTTCTTCACCAATCCCAACTGATTCTTTGAATCCGTTTAACAATAACTTCCCATTTTTCCTTCCCCAGGCCCCTGGCCCCCGGCAGAAAAATGCTAAATGCCAGGATAGGAAAGTATCTTTTCTCAGAAAAAGCACATGCACAGGATGACCAGCAGGGGGCAGAGCACAGAAGAGCTAAAGACAGGAGGGCTGAAGGACATTGTAGTTCTAGTTTTGAAGGGAATAGCTGCTGCAGCTGTATCCTCTCCACCCACTAAGTCCTAGACTAAGTATTAGGACTCCTGTGTGTTTAAGGAACTGTTTCTGCAAACATAGGGTATTTCTTGGCTTGCAAGATTTCTTCTTATTCTTCTCACTAAATTTGTTCTTGCTATTATTCTGTGTTACTGAAATCAAACCTAAGACTTCACACATTCTAGGAGAGTATTCTATCACTGAGCCACACCCCCAGCCGTACTCCTGGTTTTTTTTGTTTTTGTTTGTTTGTTTTTAAATATTTATTTTTTATTTTTTTTTTAGTTAGACACAATATCTTTATTTATTTATTTTTATGTGGTGCTGAGGATCGAACCCAGGGCCTCGCATGTGCTAAGCGAGTGCTCTACCGCTGAGCCACAACCCCAGCCCCTGTTTGTTTGTTTTAAGAGTACATTTTTATTTTATTATTTTTTATATACATATTTTTTTTTTGCTGGTGGTTTTATTGTTGTTGTTGTTGTTGTTTTGGTATTGGATGCTTAATTACTGTACATCTCCAGCCCTTTTTTGTATTTTATTTAGAGACAGGGTCTTTCTGCGTTGCTTAGGGTCTTCCTAAATTGCTGATGTTGGCTTTGAACTCACAATCCTCCTGCCTCAGCTTCCTGAGCTGCTGGGATTATAGGCATGAGCTATCATGCCTGATCTTACTACTGTTTTTGACAATTTGCCATCTCATTCTTACTCTAACCTTCAAAGGAGATTTTCAGGACTTGGTTGGAGACCCTTTCCCTTCTTACTTTATACTTTCCTGTTAAAGGATTTCATCCATTCTTATTACTTTAAAGAAACAATTATTTATGAATGGTTTCAAACCAGCTCTTGTCTTTTGGTGTTCTAGCTGCCTGGTTGGTGGTCTTGCTAGGAAATTTCCCAAGAAACTCCAACTCAGTGTCTTAGACACTGAATTACTGATAGTTTTGATACTGATAGAAACTACTGGATAGATACCCATTGCCCACTCACCCCCTTTCTCCCTGTTTGGTGAATGGCACTTTGTCCACTCACCTGCTCAAGCCCCCCAAAGGAAGTTTTTCTTGTTCTCTTCTTCTCCTCTCACCTACAGCCCATCATGGGCAAGCCCTGCCAGCTCTATCTTAGACATGCAGCTAGCTGTACAACTCTTCTCTCCACCCCCACTGCCCCCCTCCACGCTTACTCTCTGCTCTTGTCATCTGCAATAATCAAGTAGATTTGTTTGGTTTTGGTGCTGGGGATGGAACCCAGAGTCACTTTACCACTGAGCCACATCCCCAGCCTTTTTTATGTTTTATTTTGAGACAGAGTCTCACTAAGTTGATTAGGGCGTTATTAAATTGCTGAGGCTGGTCTTGAACTTTCGATCCTCCTGTTTCTGCCTCCTGAATTGCTGGGATTACAGTTGTGTGTCATCACACCCAGTGATAGCCAGGTATCTTTATGAAAATACCCAAAGGATTTAAAGTCAGCATACTACAGTGACATAACCACATCAATGTTGACAGCAACTCAATTCATAAGAGCTAAGCTATGGAACCAACCTAGGAGCCCCTCAACAGATGAATGGATAAAGAAAATGTGGCATATATACACAATGGGATATTACTCAGTCATAAAAAAGAATGACTTTATGACTTTTTTCCAGTAAATGGATGGATATGGGGACTATTATGCTAAGTGAAATAAGCCGATCCCTCAAACCAAAGGTTGAATGTTCTCTCTGATCTGTGAACATACAACAAGGTGTGTGGGGGGGAAATAGAAGTTCATTGGATTAGACAAAGGGGAATGAAAAAAAGTGAGCGGTGACAGGAATAGAAAAGACAGCGGAATGAATCTGACATAATATTCCTAGGTACATATATGAATATACCACAGTGAATATCATTTACAACCACAAGACTAGGATCCTAATTAGAATAAGATGTACTCCATATTTGTATAAATATGTCAAAATATTCTCTACTGTCATGTATAATTAAAAATAACAAGTAAAAAATCAATTGTAGGGGCTGGGGATATAACTCAGTTGGTAGAGTACTTGCTTTGCATGCACAAGGACCTGGGTTCAATCCCCAGCACCACACACATGCGCGC